AATGGATGAATGAATAAAGAAGTGATGTGTATTAAACATTTTTTTAATTTTAAAATACATCTATATACAGTACACACAATGGAGTACTATTAAGCCATAAAAAAGAGGAAACCTTGCCATTTGCAACAAGATGGATAGACTTCGAGGGTATTATGCTAGGTGAAATAAAGCAGAGGAGAAAGACAAATACTGTATGATTTCACTCATGTGTAGAATATAAAAAACAAACAGACCGAAAAAATGAAGAAAAACACAAAAACAAATACTCTGTAGGTACAGAGAACAGAATAGTGGTTACCAGAGGGAAAGGGGGGTGCTAAGTGGGTAAAGGGGGTCAAATGTATGGTAATGGAATCTACATTTTTGGTGATGAGCACGCTGTAGTGTATACAGAAGTAGAAATAACAATGTACACATGAAACTTATAAATGTCATAAACCAATGCTACCTCGATAAAAAAAAAAGATTTAAAAATAAATAAGTTGTAGAATCAGTTTCTTAATTCCTACACAAAAGCCTGCTGAGATTTTGATTGACATCATGTTGAATCTACTGACCAATGTGGGAGGAATTATTATCCTAACAGTATTGAGTCCTCTGATCCACGAGTGTGATCTGTTTCTTTATTTATGTAGGTCTTTAATTTTTCTCAGCAATATTTTGTAGTTTTCAGTGTACAGGTTACACTTACTTTGCTAAATTTATCACTAAGGATTTCGTAATTTTGATGCTATTGTAAATGGCATTTTAAAATTTCAATTCCCAATTGCTTGTTGTTAGCATATAGAAAGCCAATCAAATTTTGTGTTTCGCACTTGTATTCTCAAAACTTGCCATAGTTTTACTTTTTCTTTTCTGATCTGTATACCTTAATTTATTTGTCTTTCCTTTTTGGACTGGCTAGGACCCCCAATATAGTACAGTAAGTCCCCTACATATGAACCTTCAAGTTGCAAATTTTCAAAGGTGGGAACGTGCGTTCCGTCAGCATCAGGCGTAAGTGACACTGTAGCTTGCCCTCCGTCTCCTACTGCTGACGGCCCTTCAGCTCTGCCATCTCCCACCTCCTCTCCCTCCTTCAGTCAGTAGCTCTTCTTGCCTGTTCACTCGATGCCAGCCCCTGGATGCCAGCTGTTGTACTGGACTACTATACTTTTCAAGGGACTGTACTGTAAGATTAAAAATGTTTTCTTTATTTTTTGTGTTTGTTTTTTATGCATTATTTGTGTGAAAAGTATTATAAACCTATTACAGCACAGTACTATATAGCCGATTTTGTTAGTTGGGTACCTTGCTAACTTTGTTGGACTTACAAACAAATTGGACTTAGGAACGTGCTTTCAGAACGGAACTTGTTTGTATGTAGGGACTTACTGTATTGAATAGAAGTGGTTAGACAGACATTCTTGCCTTGTTCATCGTCTTAGGGGGAAATCTGTCACAGTTTCAGTAAGTATGATGTTAAATGTAGGTTTTCCTTAAATGGCCTTCAGTAAGATTGAGGAAGTTCCTTTCTGCTGCAGATTTACAGAGATGCTTTTTCTGCATCTATTTTTTAAAATAAATATATTTATTTATTTATTTTTGGCTGCATTGGGTCTTCGTTGCTGCACGTGGCTCTCTTTAGTTGTGGCGAGCAGGGGCTACTCTTCGTTGCAGTGCACAGGCTTCTCATTGTGGTGGCTTCTCTTGTTGTGGAGCATGGGCTCTAGGCATGAGGGCTTCAGTAGTTGTGGCATGCGGGCTCAGTAGTTGTGACTCGCGGGCTTTAGAGCTCAGGCTCAGTAGTTGTGGCACATGGGCTTAGTTGCTCTGCAGCATGTGGGATCTTCCCAGATCAGGGCTCGAACCTGTGTCCCCTGCCTTGGCAGGTGGATTCTTAACCCCTGCCACCAGGGAAGCCCTTCTGCCTCTACTGAGATTAACCATATGTTTTTTCTCCCTTGTTCTGTTAATATGGTGAATTACATTAACTAATTTTCAAATATTAAATTAACCTTGTATTTGATCATGCTATTTTATCCTTTTTATATATTACCAGATTCCTATATCCTAATACTTTAAGGATTCTTGCACCTATTATGAGAAATATTGGTCCATTGTCTTCTTTTCTTATGATGTCTTTATCTGGTTTTGGTATCAGGATAATACTGGCCTAACAAAAGAAATGAATTGGGCACTGTTCCCTCCTCTTCTGTTTTCTGGAAGAGTTTGTATTGAATTGATATTATATCTTCCTTAGTATGGTTGGTAGAATTCACCAGTGAAGCTATCTGGGCCTGAAGTTTTCTTTATGAAAGGGTTTTTAAAAACAAATTTGATTTTTTTTAATAGACATGGTTAATAGACTCAGGTTATCTATTCCAAAGAATGATCTTTGGTAATTTGTATCATTCAAGATGATACAAATCCATTGTCCATTTCATCTAAGTTGTTGAATTTATTGGCATAAAGTTATTTATAATAGTCCCTATCCTTTTAATGTCTTTAGAATTTATACTAATGTCTCCTCTCTATTTGCTGATATTATTACTTTTTCCTTATCATTCTGGCTCTATGTTTACCACTTTTATTAACTTTTCAAGGAAGCAACTTTTGATCTCATTGGGTTTATTTGCTATTTTTTTGTCTTGTATTTTATTGATTTCTGCTCTAATCTTTATTATTTCATGTGTTTACTTTGGATTTTATTCACTCTTTTTCTCATTTCTTAAGGTGGAAGCTTAGAGCATTGATTTGAGACCCTTTTTTCCCCTCCTAATAAAAACATTTAAGGTTTTATATATCCCTGTAAGCACAGCTTTAGCTGCATCCCTCAAATTTTTGTATGAGTGTTTTCATTTTCATTCAGTCCAAAATATTTTATAATTTCCCTTATGTTTTCTTCTTTGACCATGGGTTATTAGACATGTATTTATTTCCTAATATTTGGGGATTTTCCAGGTATTTTATTGATTTCTAACTTAATTGCAGTCAGACAACATTCTTTGTATTTTTTTTTAATTTACTGAGGCTTGTTTAATAGTCCAGAATTTGGTCTGTCTTGATAAATGTTTCATATGCACTTGGAAAGAATGTGTGTTGTGCAGTTGTTGAGTAGCATCTTCTGTAAATGTAAATTTGGTCAAGTTGGCTGATAATGTTGATTCAGCCTTCTACATCCTAACTGATTTTCTATCTACTTGTTTTCTCAGTTATTAAGATAGGGCTGTTAACATGTCCACCTATAATTGTGAATTTGTCTATTTTTTTCTTGCTGTTCAATCAGATTTTGCTTCATGTATTTTGAAAATCTTTTATTAGTTGCATACACATTTAAGATTATGTGCTTTTGATGAATTGGTTTCTCTATTATGAAATGTACCTTTCTTGATGTCCACTTTGTCTGATATCAGTGTAGCTCCTCCAGCTTTATTTTGATAGTGTTTACATGGAATATTTTTTTCCATCTTTTTACTTTTATCTGTGTCTTTATATTTAAAGTTGATTTCTGGTAACCAGTGTATGGTTGGGTATTGCTTCTTTATCTATGTGACAGTCTCTGACTTTTAATTGGAGTACTTAGACCATTTACATTTAATATGATTATTGATATGATCAGGTTTAAATTAAATCTTCCATCTTGCTACTTGTTTTATGTTTGTCTCATTTGCTCTTTCTTCCTTTTTTCTCTTCCCTTCCTCCTTTTGGGTTAATTGTGTATTTTTAATGATTCCGTTTTCTCTCCATTATTGGCCTCCCAGCTATTCTTTTATTTTTTTTTCCTTTTTTCCTTTTTTCCTTTTTTTTTTTAGTCATTGCTCTAGGATTTATACATGCATCTTTTACTTATCCCAGTTTACCTTCACATATTATACCTAGTCTATCACTTTATGTCTAAGAACCTTAAAACAGAGTACTTCCATTTTCCCTCTTTTGTGCCATTTCTGTCATACACTTTACTTCAGCATGTATTATAAACCCCACAATAGAAGTGTTACTGTTTTTGCCTTAAACAATTACCTTTTAATGAGATTTTTCTAATGAGGAAAAATGTCTTTTATGTTTACCCATACCCTTTTTTAAAAAATTAGAGAGGTACTTTGTTTTGTTTTGTTTTAATTGTTCCAAAGTCAATGAGAAGGACCTTGAAGGGTCACATGCAAGATAGGAAAGGAATGATCCATGAGGCTCCATAACAGCCATGAAGCGATGGGCCTTGGGATGGATGGATGGCTTCTCTATTGTAACAGGAGGGCGGTGAGGAGAGAATGTAGATACGAGTAAGTTTATGTTTGGTATCAGGATGATGAATTTCCTTTCTAGTGGCTTCCTTTTTTTTTCTTAAAAAATAGGTGAGAATGAGGGAGGAAATAGAGGAGTAGAAGATAATCCTGCTGGGGATAGACTAGTGTGCTGACCACAGAACTGTACCAGGATTACGGGCTTTGTGATGATCCTCTGGTGGTGATGAATTTACTGTAGAACCAATGCACCCTGTTATACGTGACTTTCTCTATGCCTTTGGCGACTTGGGCTTAGATAAGAACAGAATTGATAAGTGGCTTTATCAGAGTTACATTTTGATAGTTGTGGAAAATTAAAGGGAAAAAGAAGTCTCAGGTATTGCAGAGTGCTACTGAATGAATGATGGGCTTTGGGCTCTAAGCAGAATGGCTAAGGCACTGTTCCAAATTTGTAGTTGGAACGGTAGAACAAGCAAACAAGAAATTGAAGCTGAGAGGTTGGTGATTTTGGAGACGGAGCTGGAGATGGAGCAGTTGTGGGTGATGAGAACAAACAAGGAATGGCCTTGGGAGGAGGCTAGTTCAGGAAGACTGAGAAGGAGATCTTGGGAAGATCGAGGAACTGGAAGGCTGAGGTGACCTGGGATGATGGCTGCGCTGGGTGGTGAAGGACCCTACCAGCTAGTTGCCAAAGTCTTTGAAGAATGAGGGCCAGTTTGGCAAATCAGCCCCTGACAGGTATTTTCAAATTTTTTTGTTGTTGGTTTTTGATAGGAAGCAGTGGCAGCAGTATAAACTTTGCTACTAGTGATTATTCTTCTGAAATCTTTCAAAATGGGCAGCAATCTCAGGATGTACAGAAAAAAGAAACATTTCCCAACTTAGCTGAAGGGTCCATCTGGAGAATGATAGAACAAACACCTGAGTGCATTCTGATGACGTATCAGGTGCCTGAGAGGTAAGAAAGCATGTTAGAAGACCCACCTTTATATAAGTGTTTTATGGTTTCTTAAGTGTGTTTTTTAATACAAAGTGATTTTTAATGTTTTTATACATATCCTTAGAGAAATGTATTTTCAAATTCATTCATTTGAAGTCAAAAGACAAATGATTTCTTAAAACAATGGTTGTAGTGGTAGTGACAATATAAATATGTTATGTGTCCTGAGACAAGAAAACAGAGAGGCAGTGCTTTCCAAGACAGCCCACAGGTACGAGAACGTTTTTTAGAGCCTGGACTTTTTTCTCTCATTCTAAAAGAAGAGAAGACCTAAAGGAAATCTGTTTCTTCCATATGACTCATTAAAACACTATACAGGTATTTTCCATCAAGAGAAAGAGGCCTAGCTTTACCAATCTGACAAAGAAATGAGTCAGTTGTTATATTTTTGATGTGTACGTCACATACTAACAAGAAATATAAAGTATATTACAAAGTAAAAAGAAGTGCTGTTCTTAGATCACAAGGTAAAGACCCTGTGCCTTATTTAGGACTGTGAAGGTTTTGTTTGTTTGTTTGTTCGTTTGTTTTCAGGGTTAAAGAAATTGTACTGAAAGAAGACCTAGAACACCTGGAAAGCATGAGGCGGCGGCAGCCGCAGTTTTCTCACGGACAAAGGGAGGAGCTGGCCAATGTGCGTTCCTGGATTCAGAGCCAGATGATCCCTCAGGAAATAGACGTCCAGGTAAGCCCAGTAATAACAGCTGTCATGTGTTGCTGTTTCTGTGCCAGGTAGTGTTCTGGGCGCTTAGTGTACAGTCATCCCTCGTTTTCTGCAGGGGACTAGTTCCAGGACCCCTAGGGTACCAAAATCTGCGTATGCTCAAGTCCCTCATGTAAAATGGTGTAGTATTTGCATGTAGCCTATGCATGGCCTCCCGTATACCTTAAATCATCTCCAGATTACTTATAATACCTAATATAATGTAAATGCTATTTAAACAGTTGTAAATTCAACGTACATTCTATGTAAATAGTTGCTGGTGCGCTGCAAATTTAAGTTTTGCTTTTTGGAACTTTCTGGAATTTTTTTCCCCAAATATTTTCGATCTATGGTTGGTTGAGTCTGTGGATGTGGAACCAACAGAGAGGGCCAACTGTGCATTGCATGATCCCGCTGAAAATCTTAATCTTCACAATTGCTTCTGTGGTAGGTGTTATTATCCCTGCTTTACCAATAACAACAAAGTGATGTATACAGATACTCAATAATTTGTACACTCAGCCCTCTATATCCACGGTTCAAATTTCAATCTGTAGTTGGTTGAATCCAAGGATGCGGAACCCTCGAGTGCAGAGGGCTGACTGTACCAAGTCATTTATATAAGGACTTGAGCATCCATAGATTTTTGTATCCTCGGGGTTCAGGAACCAAGCCCTCTGCACAAACCGAAGGACAACTGTGTAAGGGCTCAGTTCTTCAGATTTTGAATACAGGTCTTTCTGGCTCCAAGTGTTCTTTTCTTCCACCAGTTGGAATGTTACGGGGCAGTTAGGAGTAAAGACACCTGCTTTCATATGTGATTGACTGGGGAGGAGAGTATAAGATTTGCATGTCAAATATGCGTGCATGTTTGAAAAGAGTTGAATCTCAAGATGTAAGATTCACACCAGAGGATTTAGGATTTAGGATTTAGGATTCATGCCGAGCAGGCATTTCTGTGGGAAGAGTATATGAAGAATGAGCCCCAAAACAATTTAAGCAAAAGTATTTAAACAATTGCTGTCATTTCCCTTCTAATAATAAGGGATGAACTATAATGGATAGTCTTAGATGTGAATAAGTGGGAGAATGAGACACAGGTTGCTTGGCCGGCATTTTACTGATTTAAACACTTTTCAGGTGACTTCACATCAAATAACCTGCCTGCTCTTGTTCCTTTTTGGAGGGCTGTGTCACTTGTGAAAACAGAGACTCAGCTGGTGATGCTGCAGAATCCTGTGGTCCGGATCCAGCAGAAGCAGCAGTTGAGTGACTCTGAAGATGCACCTGTGCTCCCTCTCCAGGCCTGTGGGACAGCTAGACCTCCTTGTGATTCTCTATAAACCCCTGGGTCTTAAATGACCATGAAGTTATCATTGAATATTAAGCTTTTTCCTTCCTGAGTTTTTAACAGACATCATTTTCCTGAAGCAGACATTGTATATAGACTCTTTTCCTTGTCTTTTTCCCCAATGTATTTAAACTGTCAAATAGACTCTTTTTCTAGTTTAGCTGTTCTCTAATGAGATTGGATGACCTCTAAAGAGGTATGTGTATAGTCAAACTTAATTTCAGATGTCACCCCAAATAAATTACAATTAGAAGTATAGCTAGAGGACTTCCCTGGTGGTGCAGTGGTTAAGAATCTGCCTGCCAATGCAGGGGACACGGGTTCGATCCCTGGTCTGGGAAGATCCCACATGCCGCGGAGCAACTAAGCCCGTGCGCCACAACTACTGAGCCTGCGCTCTAGAGCCCGTGAGCCACAACTACTGAGCCCATGCACCACAACTATTGAAGCCCACGCACCTAGAGCCCGTGCTCTGCAACAAGAGAAGCCACCACAATGAGAAGCCCACGCACCACAACGAAGAGTAGCCCCTGCTCGCCACAACTAGAGAAAGCCCACATGCAGCAAGAAGACCCAGTGCAGCCAAAAATAAAATAAATTAAATTTATTTAAAAAAACCAAAGTATAGCTAGAAAGAGCCCCAAACCTTAGCCTCATTGATTTTGTTCTGTTGTTACATGAATCATTTCCCCCTGTTAGAGACTTCAAGAAATCCCCGCTATGGGCCATGTACCTTTCCTAACAGTGTCCATAAATACAGTGCCCTCACCTGGTCTTTGCACGGTGACACATCCCTCCACAGTTAGGGTCTGACATTCCAGTTTTCTCACAACGCAACACAGATCACTTCAGCATTGACCAGTATGAAAGTGTATTGTCCATTGGTGTACCGGAAATTCCTAGCTTTTAGAGTTGAATTTTGACCTTCATTTTTGTAGGCGCTTTTCCTTTTGATTTTCTACCTTCCACTGAAATTCTCAAAGTCTTAGTTAAAAATGGATCAGCTTAACAATGAGCTTATTCTTTGCAGGGTTTAAATTAGCTTTTGCATGTGTAATGTTAAAACAAAAGAGCTTCTAGCTCAACCAGCTTCTGACTCTTTGAAATTTTTAAATAATGGTTGCAAAAAGTTTTTAAAGTCATGTAAGAGTTAATGTTGTTCTTCTATGCATATGTGTTTAAATGTTGTCTTATCAAAACTAACAGTTAACTCTTTCTTTCCAACCAATTTACGCAAAAGAATGTCTCTCAATCCCTGCCAGAGGTCTGATTGGCACTGCCTTCTTTTTGTCCTTAAATAGGGGTAAGTGTTGACCTTAAATAGGGGTAAGGGGCCTATGGGAGGTCCCTAGCCAAGAGGGTTGCAGAATCTGCCACAAATGAGGGCTTCCTGGGCCTGCTGAAGTTGTGTCTTTTAAGAAGTGAGTGAGTTGTTTACATGATAAGGGAGCCCCCTCTTCTTAGAGAAGTGATGTTTCCTTCTCAAACTTGGAATGATGTGCAGTTCACACCCATGTAGATCAGAAACAGGAATAGAAGAAAATGAAGGCTGGAATAACCTTTTCTCTTTTATATAACATGCAACAAACTAACTTACTTTTCTTTTGTTGTTGTGTTTTTTTTGTTTTAGGAAAACACTTCTTCCTTTCAAGTTTTATAGTTTTTTATAAAATGCATCCTGATCACAATTATGAGAATCACCCTTTCTATCTGCAATGCTGCTGGACTCTGATTTTCAAGCCTCGTAGCTTAGATTTACTTTCTAAAGTGGAACAGACAGCTCTCGAATCTGCAGGGGATTGGTTCCAGGACCCCCTCGCAGATGCTAAACTCCATGGATGCTCAAGCCACTTCTATAACACGGTGGTACAGTCAGCCCTCTGTACCCACGGATCCACACCCAGGATTCTACACCCCTCCCCGATTCTCCCCACCAGGAATACGGGGGGCCAACTCTAGCTTCCTAGAAGGTAAATCTTTCTTCAGGTGTCAGAACCATTTTCAAATGATGCCCATGACACTTCCTGGAATTTTCTCACTTTAAGCTGTTCCGTGCCCATATTCCTGTCTCGTGAATAGAGAACTCTCCTATTGTGCTCCATCTCGATTGTTAAATGATCTCTGAAGCCCTTGCTGTGTTGGTCCAGTTGTGTGGTGTTTTTGCCCTTGGTGAAAAATCAAATTTTAAAAAATGAACCAGCCTGGATATTGTCCATCAGTAGAATCGCTGTGACCTTCTGTAGTGATAACCTTTTTAATTTGTTGAAATCAAAAATGACATGGAGCAATCAGAGGACTGTTCTGCGTTTGTGAACATGTTTTTTAAACCTGACCTTCTCTAATATAAGCCCTCTTTTCGATTCTTTCTGGACGTTTGTTTTATCGACATTTGCTTATTTCTTTGCCTTACTACACGTTTAGGGGCAATTTAAAATTGGTGCTTGTTGTAAGCAGATCTATAAAACCATTTGTAGTTTTGATACTTTGATAAGTCGCCGAATTATCATGTTTGGAGTTTGGACCATGATGCTTCTACTGAGGATGCGCAGACGAGGTTCAGCAGTGCGGCTGCCGCCCCCCAGGGGGGCTCCCCCCAAGTTTAAACAGTTCAAGTTTATTAACTTTTTGTCTCGATAACTATAGAAATTGGTAATAAAAATGTATACTATAGGCTTCAGTGTTTACAGAAATGTTACCAAAAAGCTGTAGTTTCTTGGCTGAGAGGTCAGGATTTATGAACAGCAGAATGCTGTGGGAACGGAATCGTTTTACAATTAAGTGCAACTTCATCATAACTCACAAGGTAAATTTAATCCAAATAGAAATTTTCTTTTAACTGAGTTTATAATTAACTGTGAATTTACTTGTTTTTAATGGTTATTAATATTTTAATCGGGTATCTTTGTTAAGCAAAAACAATAAACGGTATACATGTAAAACTTGAGAAATTTCTTGCAGTACATCAACAGACGTTTGCCCTGAATGTGTATTTTATATCATTGAGGAACATCTACTGACATTGAGAGACACTGCAGGGTGCTCACGGTTAGGGTCACTCTGTGTCTGCGTCTCTGTCATCTCTGCGTCCAAGGTCCTGCTCGGTGACAACACAGCATTTAGTCCTCACTTAAGCACTGGGAGGAGCTTATTGGGTTCTGAGCAAATGTACATGTTTTTTACTACCAATTTTTTTATTTTTGGCTGTGTTGAGTCTTTGTTTCTCTAGTTGCGGTGAGTGGGGGCTACTCTTCGTTGCGGTGCACAGGCTTCTCATTGCAGTGGCTTCTCTTGTAGCGGAGTGTGGGCTCTGGGCATGCAGCTTCAGTAGTTGTGGCTCGCGGGCTCTAGAGCACAGGCTCGGTAGTTGTGGCTTGCGGGCTCTAGAGCGCAGGCTCAGTAGTTGTGGCGCATGGGCTTAGTTGCTCCGCGGCATGTGGGATCTTCCCGGACCAGGGCTCGAACCCATGTCCCCTGCGTTGGCAGGTGGATTCTTAACCACTGCGCCACAAGGGAAGTCCCTTTAATACTAATTTTAATGCCTCATTTACAAAATTTAGTTATCAAGATTACTCTTTCAGATTCTGTAGAGTGAACCTGTGTTTCACAAAGTCTGACTGTGGAACTGGCAGCAACAGAATCTTGGAATTAAAATATGAATCAGGATCCTGAAGCCAACAGGACTTGCCAAATGTTACACCTTTCAAACCACCTGCACCTCCTGTCGTTTAAAACAACAGCAACCCAAGGGAAGAGAGCTCAGTGTAGACGGGACGTGTACTCCTCCCACAGGGACCGTTCCGGTGCTTCCCATGAATGATCTCATTTAATACAACCACGAAATAAGCAGCGTCGCTGCCCTCATTTTACAGAGAAGGACACGGGGGTGGAGAGAGCTGGATGGCCTGGCTGGGGGCTCACAGCTGGGTGGGAGCAATGACTTGACGCCAGAGCCCCGGCTGTAAGAGCAGCTGCCTAGTCTTACAAAACGGGGGGGATTTGGGATTCTACGGCGATGGAATCCACCCTAAGCTCTTGCTGGTGTCATAAACGTACCGGCACTCGTGCGGCCAGAGTCCTGTGTTAGGGAACTGGATTCAGTTGAATTTCAGCAGCGAGCGATGCCACAGCATCCTCACGGCCACACGTCAGCATGTTCCTGAGATGACGCATCCATCCTTCAAGCTAGAAACAACTTGCCTACAGATTTGTTCTTGATGTCTTAGACAAGGAAACGGAAGATTTATCAGACCTGCGCTCTAAAGAGATTTTGGATCGTTGTTGACAAGATCAATACCGATTATGTGGCTGTTTGGTGCAGACCTGACCCTTCATTCCTCCTGAGTTGGGGGTGCGATTGGCTACAGAGCCGAGAAGGGGAGCCTGGGTTTCCCATGAGAAGTGCTCTCCCGCGGGCATGGGCCGTACTGGGAGCTGCGTGGAGCTCGCGGGTCTCAGCTCCATACTCTCTATACATAGATAAGCTACGATGGTATAGATGTATTAAGAGGATAAGTTAGTATGTGCACACACACACATGCTTTTTAAAAATTAACAAACCAGGCTATATTTCCATTCCACAATCTTAAATCCCACCTCAAGTTTCTTCTCTAAGAAACAGATTATGAAGGTATTTTTCTAGTACTGTGCTCCTTGAGCTCACAGAAACTGACATCAAACAAGCTTCAGTGTTAAGAGATTAAAGTTTTCAAGTGTTCAGTACTTAGGTTAACTAAGGGAGAGGGGATCGGAGTGTGTGGACGCCCTCCTTCAAAAACAAAGGAGAATTCAGACTGTTCCCAGCCCTCATCTTTAGGCATCCTTCACTTTGGACGCTTTTCCAAGCTAAGATACTGATTTTTTTTTTTTAAGTAATAACTCACGTTATTTTTAAGGGTTGAGAGGACATCATCACTAAGATAATGTAGGTTAAATGATTTGTAGTTTTACTGTTTTAACTAAAATTTACTTTTATGATTTTTTCTTCTTAGTATTTGCTTTTCATTTATTTGTTTACTTTTAAACTTTTAGATAATTCTTTAAAGATAAATTGATGGATAGATTTTCAGGATATGTTTATAAGTAAAAGAACCACTCATGATATTTGTAAAACATAGAGGATTTATTTTCCAAATAATAATGAACAGGGTATAGCTTGCCTAGTTTTTCATCTATACTGCTTTCAAATCAAGCGTTTTTAATTTACTTTTTCTAAGATGGTTGGTTTTGAGTTGCCTAGTAGGTGCTCATGTCACTTCAGACACAGTATTTCCAGAAGCATTCAGAGGGAGTTCCACGTTTCTTGTATGGCTTCCTGATTCTGGCTAAAAGGTGACTCAGTAAAATGTTAGGATCTTGTCCTGAGAAAGCCTGAAATTAAAACAATCCAAATAAAAAAACAGGTTATCAATGAACTGAGTCCTACACACACTAATAGGAGCCTTAGTTCCTTTAAAAAGTGTTTTCTTGCTGTTTTATTGGATAGGATTGTGGTGATCGCCCAGCGTGTAGGTTCTGGAAGGTCTCCTTGTGCCCTACCTGTGGTCCATCCAGTCTGTTTAGCCCTGTGATGGCCGTGAATTTTCCTAAACCCTCACTGGCCTATTTCTATTTAAATCTGTCAGTAACATGTTCTGTCCATTTACTGTCTTCTCTGTAAAGGAGGCCTTTTATTTGCCTTGAAATTAACTTCTTTAAGCATGGACCCTTACTTTTTTTTTTTTCTGGGATTTCATGAGCACATGCTAATCACCTTTATGATTTTAGAGTCTTTCATCATAACCCTTCTATTCGGAACAATATAAACATCTGAATGATAACGTTTAATGTAGAAGCCATCCCCATCCCCTTCTGGATGGTTTACCTGCCCTGGGGCCTCAGGTGATGTATGTATCTTCAGAATTGAGGGATTCCAGAGTATATTTTTATAAGGATGGTAATGGGTGCTACACCAAAAAAAGGTGTCTCCAGTCAAAATATTTGGGAAATGCTTGGTTAAAATTAAATACGCTTATCTCATTTCCTGGAGGCTTTAACATGCTAATAATGTACATAAAGATATTACCAGGACGGGAGGGGGCCAGAACCCAGGGCATCACTGTAGGCTGGCTCGTGGGACTGGTATACCTGGAAAGCCCTTTAGGAGACACTAATTTAGAGTTTGAGGGGTTGATAATGATGAAATACAGATTTTTCTTTTAGTGTTTAAGGTCCTCCATTAACTGTGCACCATTTCTAACCATTTAATATTATCATTCATCAATCCCAATCACAGTCTGTCTTCTGCACCCAAAACGATTTCCTTCATATTCTGCTCTATCACACATATGACATCTCAGGGTTTTGACCGTGTCTTTCTTCTATTTAGACATCATATGGCAGTGCTTGTCATACTTTATTTAATGTGCATAAGAATCACCTGGGGAATCTTGGTAAGATGCAGCTTTTGATTCAGTAGGTGCTGGGGGGCGGGGGCTGAGAGTCTGCATTTCTCACAAGCTTCCACATGATACCAATACTGCTGGCCCTCGGACCACGTGAAGATGATCAATGACACAGCACAAGTGGATGACAAGCTTGAGGGCATCTTAAACTCATTACAATAAGTTATCCAAAATGGACACTGGATAAGTTCTTGTTGCATCCACATTTACATGGATCAAACTTTGGAACATGCTTTGAAGTAATACTGACTGACCAGTTATTCTAAGGTGTGATTTCTACCGAAAATGCTTGACTGGTTCATGAATTGAGGCTCCTCCAAAGTCACAGCATAGCATGCTCACTTTTGTAACGTAATTCTCATGATGGAGCTACTTACCTTTCTCACACTTCGTCTTGGGTAAAAAATGTTGGTACCGAGATCTGGAAAACAGTATTTTGAAACCATTCGTCATCAGATCTATTATTTCCATTTTACACTTGTCTTATTTAAAACGCACAAAATAGAATATTCCTAAATCACGTCTAGTTTCTGATTTTCCTTTTTTTCACACCACAGTGATATTTACCTGAAGGAAGATAGTCAGGCACCTGGTTCTTTCTCGCTTCCGGAATTCACAAAGGGCACTGCATTTTCCTGAGTCAGCAGTTCAGTAGTTTATCAAAAATATTTTATAACAAGTGAAATTCTTTCTACTAAACAAGGTCTATTAAAAGACCCCATTTTGTTTCCAGAACGTCCTGAGCATTTCTATCAGTGCTGGGAGGAATACAGTGACAGAGAAAGTGGTGAAAGCTGCCATGTCATGGATTACTTTGTGTGCCACTTTGTGTGCCACTGTGCTGGACATTTTACTTGCATTTTCTCATTGACTGAACTTCACAATAACCCCATGAGATGGGCATTGTTATCATTCCGTTTACTGGTTTAAGAAACTGAGGTACAGGTAGATTAAGTGATTGGCCTAAGACTTGTGTAAGTGGGAAACCAGGATTGTAAATTTCACTTATTGAAAACTGGGATAATGCCCTCCTTCCCCCCAAAATAAAAGTCCATACAGAGAACAGATATACTGAGGGGCCAAACAGAGCAGGATGCTTGGAAGGAGTTGCTGAGAAAAAGAAAACAGAAGATGTCAGAGGAAGTCTTTATGCCCGGAGGGGAGAGCGTTGGGTAACTAACTCATTTTATATAGCTGATCTTTATATTCCAAAATAGGATTTTACCTCATCTGATTCATGAGCACAGGGAGTAAATTCAGTGGCAAAAAAAATCAGACAGGCTGGGGGCTTCCCCGGTGGCGCAGCGGTTGAGAGTCCACCTGCCGATGCAGGGGACACGGATTCGTGCCCCGGTCCGGGAAGATCCCACATGCTGCGGAGCGGCTGGGCCCGTGAGCCATGGCCGCTGAGCCTGCGCTCCGCAACGGGCGAGGCCACAGCAGTGAGAGGCCCGCGTACCGCAAAAAAATCAAATAAAATCAGGCTGTAGACACAAGAATCATTTTACCTGCTTTCCTAAGACCATCTCCTGTCTCTGCACCTGACATCTCTGGCGGCATCTGCAGAAGGGAAGCTCTTTCCAGCTCATCCAAAGTTGATTCGGCATCTTCAGGTGCTACACAGAGTAGAAATAGATATTAGCAACTCAGCTGCTTCTTCAATCACTTCTGCTCCTTATTGCCTTTTCGGGGGTACCAGGGACAAGGAGATAACACTAGAAAAACTTCAAATACTAAATTCCGGGTTTGTCGCCAGTAGTATTTTAACCAAGAAGTAGAAATGCTACAGTCCAGTTCACAAGCCAGCAGAACAGGAAATCAGGCGTGTGACTCTCATTCTGATTCCTCCTGCCTGTGTGGCCTTGCCAGGCCGCTCACTGCCTTGAATAAGAGGGTAGGGCTGAGCCACAGGGTCAGTGAAAAAGCACTTCCACTTACAAAGTGATTCTTCCTCATTTCTATTTACCTACTGCTGCCTTTTGCCTTTTGCTTTTAGACATATGGGTGGTGAAATTGGAGTGAAAGGAAAAATGAAGGAGTGGTTTTCTAAAAGACAGGATTGTTAAGGTTCTTCCTGTAAAGCAAATAGGATGGCATCACCTCTTATCTGCCTGGCCTCCAAGATTTAGGCACAATTGTCAGGAAAGAGTCAGCTTTAAAATACTCTTTAAAGAAGTTGATAGCAACAATTTCAGGGTGAAATTTGGTCAGCTTAGTGGCATAGAAGATGCATGGTAAGTGTGTGCAAGGTGTGTGGGAAGTGAGTGTGAGGTCTGGTGAGCAGACTCTGGACCCTGGCAGAGCAATCTTGGCCAGGTGCTGCAGTGGGGAGATCGGAGCTTCTGGGGAGTCCTGTACTATCCACTTGCTTCACTAAGCCTTCCAAATCCTCAGCTACAACCTTGATTGGAAAACAAAGAGCAAGCCGTTGTGAAGGCTTCTGGGCACATTCACAGTACTTCTGAAGAATATTAATGAGAAATCTATAAAATTTGGCCACACATCAATGTTTATGTGATGAAGGATCATTTATGGAGAAACAAATAAGTGGGAAAAAATTTCAGGTAAAAACTCTAATGTAAGCTGCCACTTGTTAAGAATTTAAGTGAGGGGCTTCCCTGGTGGCGCAGTGGTTGAGAGTCCGCCTGCCGATGCAGGGGACACGGGTTCGTGCCCCGGTCCGGGAAGATCCCACATGCCGCTGAGTGGCTGGGCCCGTGAGCCATGGCCGCTGAGCCTGCGCGTCCGGAGCCTGTGCTCCGCAACGGGAGAGGCCGCAGCAGTGAGAGGCCCGCGTACCGCAAAAAAAAAAATTTAAGTGAGATACTATACTCATCTAAGTTTGGAAAAATCATAATCATGATATGTAATTTTTTGAGGTGACAGTAATATCTGAATGTTCATTCTTGGTTTCGTCTTATGCTTTTCACTGTTCTTTATTTTAAATAGCAGAGATTCAATAAAGTTAATGCCCGATTTAGCCATTAAGATGACTGGCACTTATGAGTTCAGTGACTGTGGACGTTGACTGATAGTGCATGAATTAGAGCTTGACAATTATCAGAAAGCTGCTTGAGAGAAACTTTAGAGAGAGTAGAAATTATAAAATCAATGGCTTAGAAGAGATGTTTTCCTTTATTAAAAAAAAATGTCTAAAGTACCACAATTAAAGACAAGTTAAAATGCTTATGAACCTAATACCCAAGCACCAACCTTTTCGTTTCTTAAACTAAATTAAGAGCTGACAGCACGGTATCTGCTTGACTGATACACTTTAAGAGAATTCAACTTAGAATTGAACTGAATGAAACACGAATCAAAAGGAAAACGTAAATGTACTTGGAAATCTGTGTCATCCCTAGCCCCAGCTAGTCACTTCCTTATTTTTTAATAAACATTTTTGTTTCATATAACACGTGTCAGATGATTACTTTTTAGCTTAAAATAAGATACAATAAAAATATTTTACCCTATAATTGGAACAACCAATTCTGCATTCATCCAGTTCATTTAAAATAGAAACGAAAAGCAATGATGTTTTAAATTTAGTGCCATTTTCAAAATTGAAAAAAAAAAAAGAAACAGCTGATCAAAATAACTTAGAAATATAGAAGTGACATTAAATAAGCAATGTTACCCTTCTACTTTTACATTTTAGGAAGGAAAAAAAAAACCGTATCCATTACTGACTCTGAGATGTGTTGTAAGGACCCTCAGAATTCTTTTCATAGCTGGGACTATTAATTTCACAAGACTCCTTTAAGAAAGAAATATTCATTCTTATCTCTAACATTGCATTTAAGACCCTTGAAGACTCTTTCAAGACTAACATAAGGGAAAGAAATCATTTTACCTGAGAGCTGCAGGGGCTCTTCCCTGGAGTCAAGGACAGGAAGAGACCAGAGAGGATTTAAGCATCCTATGAAAAGCAAACAGCAGGAGACCAGCTTATACATGATTGGCAGGAGACCGAAGTCTTCTTTCTCGGCTTCTGTTTGTCAGAACTCTCAACTTGCTTCTTCTCGGGGATATAGCTCAGTGGTAGAGCATTTGCCTGCAACTTGTTCCTTCTCATTCTGTGATCAGCGATTATATATATTATCCTATGACCTCATATCATCCCCTACAAAAAAAAATAAATAAATTTATTGGCTATGAAGGTGGAAAGACAATCACTTTGCATTGATGTAATTTTTCAAAGTAGCAACTCATAGACAATAAATTTACTGTCTTGTTGCCTAGTGTACAAAATAGGTATTAAATAAAGAACAGTTACGTTTATAAATCTGGCAAAAGGAGTAACTGAGAGCAATAAATCATGAGTTAAAGAAAGGATAAGACATGAGTTGGAGTGGCCAAGGCAGAGACATGGATTTATGAGTCCTACCCAGCAGAAGTACTGTGGAGCATGGCAAGAAATGTGTTGCTTTCCTTTTTTTAAATCTTTTGTGAATGAATAGATGAATTGTCATATTGTTTTTGGGGCTGCCATGCTTGAAGAATGACAATGTGTGGAATAAAACTCAAAACCAGTTATTTGTTTTTAAAAAGTGAAGATAAGTTAAATGCATAGCGAACATTCAGGCTCGAGGCAAGTTGTGTACATACACTAGGCCTCAGGTAAAACTACGAGTATAAGGGTCTTCAGAGAAGGGAAATAACTTTCCTGAAAGTTGGACATTACTCATTAAGGAGGATGAAAAACAAGCCTGAAAACCTGACCGGTAAGTATTTCCAAAATTTCACTGCTCTTCCGCTTCCACTCTGCCCAGCGGCTCCCAGCCTGGATCGTTGCAGTAGCCTCCTTGCAAACGCCCTCAAGGCTGCACTCTGCCCACCAGTCGCATCTCAAAACAGCACAGTGATGCTATTAGCACGTTAAGTTAGGTCATGTCGGCTCTTTGCTCAAAACCCTGTACTGGACCCGAACATAAAAGTTAAAACTAAAGAATTTCTAGGAAAATAAATAAATAAATGAACACCTTCACAACCTGAGGGTAGGCAAATATTTCTTAGACATGACACCAACCATATAAGAAAAGAATGGATAAACTGGACTTCATCAAGATTAGAAACATCTGCTCCTTGAAAGATACTGTTAAGAAAATGAAAATGCCAACCACAGCTGTGAGAAAATATTCACAAAACCAATGCCAGACTAAAGACTTCTCCGGTATATGTATAAAGAATCCCAACTCAGTAAGTCAGCAACCCAATTAAAAGAATGAGCAAAAGGTTTGACATGAAAACATACATCCAACAAACACCTGTACACAAATGTTCATAGCTGTAAATAACTAAAGGACCCAGGTGTCCATCAGCAGGGGACTGGATAAACAAGCTCTGCTACATCACACAGTGGAATTCCACCCAGCAATGCAAAGGAACTACTGATAAACGCAACATGGACAAATCTCAAAAACTTTATGCTGAGTGAAATGAGCCAGACCCAGAAGAGTACATATTGCATGAGTCCATTTAAATGAAGTTCTAGAACAGGCAAAATGAATCCGTGGCATCAAAAAACAGTTCAGTGAGAGATGGAGGGTTGACGGTGGGGAGACAAAGAACTTTTGGGGGTAATGAAAATGTTCTAACCTTATCAAGGCAGTGGTTTCCTTGGTCAAAACTCATCAAACTGGGACTTCCCTGGTGGCACAGTGGTTAAGAATCCGCCTGCCAATGCAGGGGACACGGGTTCGAGCCCTGGTCCGGGAAGAAACCACATGCCGCGGAGCAACTAAGCCCGTGCGCCACAACTACAGAGCCCGCGAGCCACAACTACTGAAGCCCGTGCACCCTAGAGCCTGCGTGCTGCAACTACTGATGCCCACGTGCCTACAGCCTGTGCTCCGCAACAAGAGAAGCCACCGCAATGAGAAAACCACGCACCGCAACGAAGAGTAGTCCCCGCTTGCCGCAACTAGAGAAAGCCCACGTGCAGCAACGAAGACCCAACGCAACCAAAAATAAAATTAAAAAGTCATCAAACTGTATACTTAAAATGGGCACGTTTTATCGTATGTAAGTGATACCTACGTAAGGCTGATTGGTTTTAAAGATTTAAAACCACGGTCTCCTGACTTCAGTTTCACTTCTTCCAATACCGCCCTCCCCTGACAACTCCACTCCAGCCATGCTTCCTCCTTACTACTCCCTGAACGTGCCCCTGCCTCAGGGCATTTGCAACTGCTGCTTCTCCCTCCCCTGGATTGCTCTTTCCCCAGATGTGGTGCCCGGCTCTCTTCCTCACCTCCTTCAAGTGTTTGCTAGAACATCACCTCCTACGTGAGGAATCCCCCAACCCTGCTATTTAAAAGTTGCAATGAACCCACCCCCAGCATTCCTCATCACTCTTGCCTTGCTCTGTTTTTTCCAAGGCACTAAGCCCCCTCCAGCACATTATATATTTATATAGTTACTATACAAAGTAGGCACTCAATACATATTTGTCGAATCCGTGAATGGGGTGCCAACCACAGGTCAGGCCTTGTTGAGGGTAAAGAGCAGTGAACAAGAGGAAAAGAAGTTTCTACTCTTATGACCTTCCTAACCGGAGGAGACAGACAACACAACAGATAGATACCATGATTATTTTTTATTACCATGAAGAGGCATAAAACCTAGTACAGAGATGCAGCTGTAGGGCAGGTGGTCGGGGAAGATGTTGTTTTATACGGGGCATCCAGGAGGCCCCTGGGAAGGGACAGACGCCCAAATGAAGTGCGGGAGTGATAAGTTCGGAGGCTCCCGCATAGGAAATCGAGGAGGGGTGATCAGGGAAGCAGGAGGAGCACTAAAAGAAGAGTCCCAGGCTTCCCTGGTGGCGCAGTGGTTGAGAGTCTGCCTGCCAATGCAGGGGATACAGGTTCGAGCCCTGGTCTGGGAGGATCCCACATGCCTCGGAGCAACTAGGCCCGCGAGCCACAACTACTGAGCCTGCGCGTCTGGAGCCTGTGCTCCGCAACAAGAGAGGCCGCGACAGTGAGAGGCCCGCGCACCGCGATGAAGAGTGGCCCCTGCTCGCCGCAACTTGAGAAAGCCCTCATACAGAAACGAAGACCCAACACACCCAAAAATAAATAAATTTTATAAATAAATAAATAAATAAAAATAAAAGAAGAGTCTCAGTGCTAGTGGGGGAGTGGGGGCCATGCTGCTGACAGGCTGGGACACTGTCCAGCTCGGGACCCTGATACGGGCTGCATGGGGGTCACTGGTGTTTCAACAGGGCAATTTCACACAACCTGTCTGGTGAGGTGGAAGGTGGTAGTCTTATTTCAGGCTTATCTCCTCATTCAGCCGACATCTCAGCACCTACCACGTGCCAGCACTGCCGGGTTGGGGGGGGACACAGTTGTGTCCCAAGAGGACAGAGATGGCCCTCAAGAACCTGATAGGAGGAATGGGGCCACCAGAAACCACTTAGATCCAGCTCAAGAAAACAAAATGTATTGGAAAGTCACGGGATATCTTCCAGGATCTGAAGAACTGTGCAGTAGCAGTACCCAGAGTCCCACTGGGGCTCTATTGGAAAAAAAAAAAAAAAAGCTGGGCTTTTGATAAACCCCCTCGCAGCAGAATACCTAGGACAGCTATTTGCAAAGGAGAGGATTGTGGCCTCAACAGACATCCCAAATGGAACACATTATGGCAAGAGCTAAAATATATTTATACCCAGGAAGCTTGCTTTCAGAAATATACCTTAAGCTAATAATACCACAGAAGCAAAAAATTACCTGAAGGCATCATCTGAAGCCTTATCTAGAGTGGAGAAGACATTAAATCAAAGGTTGCAAACTCAAGTGCATATAGAAATCAAGAGGTGATAATGTAAATGAGGGAGGCAGGCTTGGAGAATGACAATAGGGAGTAGTGGGGTCTGTAGCAAAGTGGAGAAAATATGCTCTCTCCAAAGGTGGATGGATTGCAGCTGCCAAGCTTGAAGTTTATAAATCTGAATCTAAGGGTTATCCATGATTTCCTTGGCAGCTAATTAAAAATTTTAAAAAACAACAGCTACAAGAAAGTCTTAGCTAGCACTATGTGTTTCAAAGCAAACACATCCACACAGCATAACTCAACCTACATGCACCCAATTCTGGCCCAAATGCCCAACATAATTGATTGAGTTAGTATAGAGGTTATCAACGTGTAATTTTAGTAATCATTAACATAGTAGCTAAAAGATTATAGGAACTTGGGCAATAGAATAATGTTAACGAATTAGAACATAAGATGATTGACACTATGTGAAAAAGGGGACTATGGACAAGAACTGTTATGTAATATAATAATATGTAATGTAAAATTGAAAATAGTTCTGTGAGGGTAAAGGATTTTTTTCTTTTCTTAAAATGCTATTTTGCACATACATATAAAATATATATGTAAAAGTATATGTAGCATATATAACATATATGTATTACGTGTGTGTGCATGCATGCATGCATGTGTGTGTATGTGTAAGCACTCATGAAGTAAAGTCCTGCCAAGAGGTGGGGAAGCAGGCAGGCTGAGACTGGGAGTTTGTTGGTGCCCCTCGAGGAAGTTCAGAGAGGCGGGGCGAACGCCAGACTGCTCCCTCCCCTGTGGAAGGGGCAGTCGGCCAAGCTTTGTCATTCTCTGGTGACTCAGGGGTACTCCTGAAAGTTATTAGTGGTGATTTTACAGCATGGCCTAATTAAGTTACGACTCAAGCTTCAGCTTAAAAGAAAATTAGCTTCTTTCTTTCAACAGACCGTCAAGGACAATGTCACCTTGTCCCAGAAATGTCCTGAGCACGTCACTCAATCCTAACAGTCCTCCAGCAGAGCAATACGACTTCACATTCATGAACCTGTATGAACAGCGACCACCTTTTTAAGAGGTGGGATTCCTTTCACTAGTCGCAAATTACCTTTGTCAACCAGAGGGGTGTTTTTTGTGTCGCATAGAAGCAAACCATTAATAGGAC